ATGTTGAACATTTTTTCATATGCCTGTTGGCATTTGCATTTTCACTTCATCTGAAATACGTGCACTGATTTCTCCTAAATTTGCACTTGATGACGTACAGTGCCACAACCTCTGGAACCATGAAAACAAAAGCTTTCTGTTTCCTGTTGTTGTATTTGTTAAATTCCACGAAGATGTCCTGGGCCCTGGGTGATGGAGAAGAGAAATAAGCTGAGGAGCAAGCATATTTAGAACTATTTTAGAGGAGCTTTCCGGAACGAGACCTTAAGCATCTTTAAGGTCCACTACAGTCGCCGACGCCACCGACTTCAGACGTCAACCCGCGCCGCCAGCCGGCCGTCGCAGAGATTTGAGACAGCGCGCCCTCGCGCACGCGCACTGCTCACCCCTGGGGAAATGCCTCTCGGTGCGCAGGCGCAGGACGCCATTTTTCTGAGGCGCGCCCGCGCAGTTGCGTGTGGCGTCGTTGCTTGGCTACCGCTAGCCTAGTCCGAAAGATTTAAATCCGCCGCCGCCGGGCTGCGGTGACCGCCGCGGCGACAGCCGGTTGGCTTCTCTGTGGACGGGATTGAGCTCGGGGGGCGGAGGAAAGCCACGGCGGCGCGCGAGGAGTTTCTGACGCGATGAAGAAGATTTTTGGCTTTCGGAGCGGGAAGGGCTCGTGGCGCCGGGGCTCCTCCACCAGCCCGCAGAGCGGCGCCGCGGGGTCCAGGCCGTCGCCCGAGGCCGCCCGGTACTGCGTCCGCGCCCGGGACCTCGGGAAGATCCACCGGGCCGCGAGCGCGGGCGACGTGGCCGCGGTGCAGCAGCTGCTTCTGCTGGGGAAAACGGCTTGAATGATCGAGACAAGATGTCCAGGTAACGGGGCAGCGGGCCGGCCCCGGGGCGGGAGGACCCGGGAGACGCGCGCACGTTCGCGGCCCGGCGGGGCCCGGCCTGTCCCCGCGGGCCCGGCCGTCCTCGCGCCGACGCTCGGCAGCCGCTGGCCCTGGAGCCGCCGCGGGGCCGCGCCCGCCCGTGGGGAGAACAGCCCCGCCGGCGCTCGCGCCCTTTGCGTCCACTCAAAACTACCTTTACTGACAATTTTAGAAAGATGCAGCTAGTATCAGTTATAAGAGTCGTGTGCAACATTTTTTTTTGCTGTTTGCATTTTCATGCCATCACACTCCATACTGTAGAAAAGCGCAGAATGAGAGCGACCGTTCCCATCCTAGAGCAACGCCCAGGCTAGACGCGCTTCGGATGAACTCCAGGACCCACCTGGTACCAGTCTGTACCTATTTCTATATGTTCTTATGGAGCGACCTTCAAAGGAAACTTTGAAGGGGAAGATGGCCCTGGGTTCTTGAACAGAAAATGTCATTTTCTCTAAGTGCGAGTTCTTCCTGGTATTTATCAATTTATATAAACCAAACAAAAAAAATAAGGTTTTTAAAAATTTGAGTTACATATGCTGTCTTTTACTGTTGTGATGAAACTTACAAAAGGTTGTAAGATAGACAAAAGCTTGCCTTCTGGATATCAAATGTGGTATAAATTTCCACTAACTAGTAATTGGTTCACAACTGAAAATACACATAAATAAATGGAACAGGATAGAAGATGCCCAAACATCCAAATGCATGTGAATTTACTGGTGAAATATTATTATGGTGAAATACCAGCTAATTGTGTTTGGAAGAAACTAACTAGATTTTTTAATCTCATAAAAATAAGTTCCAGATCAAATAGAAATTAAAAATGTTAAATATACAAAATGAGAAAAGCACCAGAAGGAAACACAAATGTGTATTTGTTCATTTTTTATGTTGTCCAGGACCTTCCTAAGAATGACTTCAGGAGGAAGAAGTTTGATTCAGTAACATAAAAAATTAAAGCTCTCTGTATATCAAATCATATTAACAAAATAAAAATGTCTACAGCATATCTGTATCAAATGAAAAATATGTCTTCATTTTAAAGAATTCTTTGAAATCAACAAGAAGGAAACTAATGTGAAGATTGGGCAGATATATTTTTGCATATCTGGTGACCAGTGGACATGGGAAAAAATATTTAGTGGCCCAGGTAGGAAATGAATTTAAGTTAATAGATGAGCAAAATCACCTTTTCCATCCGCAGAGTTTGTGATGATGAGGAGCTGTGGTTCTTACACAGTTGCTTAAAGTTTAAGCTGCTTTTGATTTTTCAGTAGGCAACTTGGTGATAACTAACACACTTACAAATATATATATATTCCTTTTACTTATGTGTATTCTAAAAATATCTTTAAGAAGTTGATACCTATAATGTACATTTTTTCTAGTGCTGCTTAAAATAGCAATGTATTAAAAAAACTCATAACAGAGTTTATAATTACAGTGAGCCCATAATCTAGATAATGGCCTTTGAAAGTGGCATCCATATAGATGTGTGTTCACAATCGAAGGTGTACTTTAGTAGATCATTTTGATCTACATTCACTTGGATTACACATACACATAGACTGTAGTGTAGTGTTAGCCAAAAACATGTACAAGATGTGATAAAATGTTATTTTTGAGCTTTTGTATTTTAAGTGAATTTTTCTTTTTTTAAAAAGTCTGTGATTTCTACATGGAACATGTATAAAAATTCTAATGAGTTTATTATTAATGAAATATTCCTGGGGAAGAGCAGGCATATGAATTTTGCAGAGATTTTACTTTTTTACATTTTTTCTTGAAGGACTGGTATCTTCTGATAACTTTTGACCTTTCAGAAGTAAATAGAATCTTTTTATATGTGCTTGTAGATTTTATTATGCATACACTTAAATATATACATTTTTATTATATAGCTTTATTTTAATTTGTAAACAATTTTTAGTTGTGTATGAATCTAAAAATAGTAAACATAAATGATGATTATCATTATCAGTGCTTTACTTTATAAAACCTTTCTTTGAAGATTTTGAACAAACTGCACCCTCAGCTCTTTTCCACATTTAACCTGTACATTGTTTAAACCTATTGTTCTGAATTCCCAGTTTATAATGCGAGGATACAGGTAGACTTTGCTTCGATAACTTGAAAGTATGTAGTGTATTAGAGATATTGGGGAACTTTACTAGAGCTGTTAATGGAGATTATATATAGGTAAATATATACTTATATATGTGTGTGTATGTGTGTATATATGTGTATGATGTATTTTGAATTCTCCATCTACATTTATCCATTCTTTTTGTTCATCAGCTATAGCTTGAATATCTGTTATATAGCAGACGTATTCTAATACCTCCCAGGACGCTTTCATCCTTAGAAACTAAATGTTGCCCAGCCTAAGTTATGAAATTTAAAACTGAAGAATGTATTAAGACCTAATCTCATTTGAAGCTTTTTCTCCATCCTTTCAAACAAAAGCATTTTGGAGGGTAGGAAGTTGTAAAAGATAACTTTTACTTGCTCTTTTGAAAATTTATAGTAGTATTAAGTGCTAATGTTAATTATTGGAAAGGTCTGATTTTTCACACCATCCCTGGCTCAAAATAATTGAATAAATGAGCTATCTATATTCATGCAAATGTTCAGTTTCCTTTGACTTAAAGTTTCCTGAAAATTGAAGTAAGATTGACTTTTTAAAAATATGCTTTTGTTTTGCTATTTAGTCCCTTTTCTCCAGAATTTTTAAAAGAACTATAATTTAGTTAAATGCCAACCATGTGATTAGAACTGCAACATGAATCACATGCTGTACCGCACTGTGGATTGTGTAATGCCCCTCTATCTTATGTACCAAAGACATATTTTTTTAACTGCCTCAGTTATAATTCTAAGACATTATGAATTATAAATTGCATTCCAGTGTCAAGGGTAAAATGTGAGAAAGTGTGCATCTTAGAATCATTAAAGTGCAGTGTTCTCTTTAATCTTAAAACATACTGCAAAATAGGTATATTTGTATTATTTTTCTTAGTTTAAATGTCTTTGTAAAGTGGTAGTAATGGCAATAAATAGAATAATACTATCTAACAATAAGGAGTTGCTTTTTACTGCAGGGGTTGTTTAGAACACTTTGAAAGATTGTAACTTAAGTATCACAACAGTGCCTGTGAGACAATTCCTTTTCATCCCCATTTTATTCAAGAGAAAATGAGGCATCGAGAGGCTAAGCAATAGCTAATAAGTGACAGAGCAAAGTAGGATTCAAACCCAAAGTGAGCTGAATCCACACTCTAACTAGTCAAATGAACTGCTCTTTCACTACTGCGATGAGCAATAAGGGCTAATAATGGTGTACTTTCCAATGGGCATGTGTTTAAAGACATGGGAATTTTGGCATTTAATGTTTACAGTTTTGAGTTAGTACACTATAATTTCCTAAAAAGCCTTCTCACTTTCACAGGACTGCTCTCCATTTGGCCTGTGCCAATGGCCATCGAGAAGTGGTAACTCTCCTCGTAGAGAGAAAATGCCAGCTTAACCTCTGTGACAGTGAAAACAGGACAGCCCTGATGAAGGTATGTGGTAGCCAACTGTGTCAGTATGAAATGGACTTGATTAATACAATAAACATGAATTTATCTCATTTAAATAAAACTAATGGGTGAAATGTTTACTTTGAATTCCTAGAATTGACTATCTATTTCTTGTTCTAACACTGACAGGCAGTACAATGCCAGCAAGAGGAGTGTGCAGCCATTCTGCTGGAGCATGGCGCTGATCCAGACCTCGTGGACATGGACGGCAACACTGCTCTGCACTACGCTGTGCGGGGTCAGAATGCAGCCATCATAGCCAAGCTGCTGGCACACAACGCAGATGTTGAAGCCAGAAACAAGGTCTAGACCAACCAACATTATTTACAAACTATTTGTAGTACTGTTGTATTGACAATTCCTCACTGACCAATGGGAGTCGTGGAGCAAGCTGTCCAGTGCAGGATGTTGTTGAAAGAGCAAGCTCCTGGCCTTTTATTGATAGAAAAATAATACAGCATCAATTGTGTGGGATAGGAGAACAAGGAAAAAGGATGGGTGAAACTGAACAAATGTGCATATGTATCCAGGGTTTCCGGGGGAAGGCGAGTCTGCTAACAAGTGTATTTTTTTTATCCACTTGATCACTTGGTATTGAGATGGAAGCTGTATCTCAGTCCCCCTACTCCTGGTTCCAATCTTATTGATGATAAGACCTTCAGCTTATCAGTTTCTGGGAGGGCAGGGTTATGCATCAGTCAGTGGCCCTGCGCTAGAGTTCCTAGTCATACCTTGTGATTCATACTCATTGTTCCAGGATGATCAAACATCCTGCTCCTGTTGAATATGAAAGGAGCCTTGTAGGGTCTGGCAGTCCTACATTATTTTAAATAATTAATTGACTGGTCTGGACTGACCTTGTATTTTTTTTTCCTGACCTTGTATTTGAATGCAGAACTGCACATAACCAAGATGGTGGCAGAGCAGGCCTTTTAAATCTAGGAGACCCACAAAGTACACGTGTTTTTTTAAACCACAGAACATTTCATGCATACATACTGAATACTACCATCAGGCCTGTTGCCATGGAAACAACTCTAGAGCCATGTGAGGGTTGTGTCCTCCGCTTGATCTGTCCTACTTGATTCTTCACTTACTGGGTCACCTACTTTGCTTCCATTAGCACTGAGCTTACAGTGCTTGTTTTGTTGTGTATTTTTTTTTTTTAGATTTATTTATTTAGGGCCTCCCCTGGTGGTGCAGCGGTTGAGCGCTGGGCTGCGAAGCTGCCCGCAGCCTCTGCAGCACCGGTTCAATCCCCGGCTGTAGGCGAGGGTTCCACAAGACACGACAGACCTCCCCTGCTGCTCCCCTCAGGAGTGTATTTCGTCGGTCTGCCTGTTCTGTTCCCTGCTCTGGCTTTGGTGAATTCTCTCACCCTCCTGCTCTTCTGACTGTACCCAGTGCTTGTATAAATAAATAAATAAATCTTTAAAAAAAATTTTATTTATATAAGAACTGTGGTACAGGCCAGGTGAGTGGGAGGGTGAGAGGATTCACCAGAGACAGAGTGGGGAACAGAACAGGCAGACTGATGAAATACACTGCTGAGGGGAGCAGCAGGCAAGACAGGAGAGGTCTGCTGCGCCATAAGGGACCCTTGCCGGCTGGCCAGGATTGAACCAGCACTGCAGAGGCTGCAGACAGTTTCACAGCACGGTGCTCAACCGCCTGTGCCACCAGGGGAGGCCCTTGCTGTGTATTTTGATGAAGATTTCAAGATTTGAAAACAGTCTTATCAATTTATAATATGTTTCATATTTTTTTTAATCTCTTATAAATGAGTTTGAGTGTTTCAAATTAAAATTTCTCAGTGATTTTAAGAGGAATACTTACCTGTACTCTAAATAATCATATTGTCAATCAAATGTCTACCAGCCTTGTTAGGTTAATCTCAGTTGAATAGATTATGCATGTTGCACACAATATTTTATCTTTCTCCTCAGTATTCATCCTTAAAAAAGTGCAAGTGATTTAGTAGCTTTTATTTTGCTAAAATAACCCAAGTAGGTCATTATTAGAATTTTTATTGGTAAGCCATTGTATTTTTATTTCTAATTAATATTTCATATAAAATAGGAAGTGATTTTAAGTAGGAATTAAAAATGGAAATCAGAATAAAAGTGGATTTTTTAAAAAGTACATATGCATTAAGGTTTCAGAATTACTATAATTGAGAATAAAATTACACACTGAGCTTTCTGACAGCTAAGATAAAATTTACCAGCTTGTAATAAGGGAAGCCCCATTGGGCCATTTAATAATAAGCAATCAAACTTCATTTGAAACCTGTATCTTTCATTCAGCGCCCATTTCCCTAGTGCCTGCAGGCGACATCTGGGATCTTGATGCCATTGAGGGAAGAGACCCACACAAGGTCATATTACCTGGAGAAACGCATTCCCTTTAGTGGAAAATTCTCCAAACTATTACTGCAATTCCTAATTCCTCAAATGCTTGTGTTTGCCACAAAAAGTACTATCAAACAGGGATTAAGCAAAGTTAAACAGATTTCATTATCACTAGACATATAATGTTTTAAAATATTTCCAAATTGGGGCCTCCCTGGTGACACAAGGGAGGCTGTCCGCAGCCTCTGTGACGCGAGTTTGATCCCCAGCCAGCCGGGGGGGGGGGGGGAACCCACGTGGCGCAGCGGACCTCTCCTGGCTCGCTCGCTGCTCCCCTCAGCAGTGTACTTCGGTTGATCTGCCTGTTCTGTTCCCTGCTCTGTCTCTGGTGGGTCCTCTTAACCCCTACACCTCTGGCCTGTACCCCAGCTCTTGTATGTATAAATGAATGTATCTTTAAAAAAATAAAATGTTTCCAAATAATAGATGGTCACAGAATGTTTCCATTGGGGTGTATTCCTTAATTTCTGGTAAGGGTTCATATTCTTTGGAATGTAATTAAGAAACACTAGTCAAGAGATACTCAGCTTGATTATTAATGCAATAAAAATACTTAAAGCATTACTAGTATGTTTAAAGTTTGGAGATAGAGAAAAATAATTAGCCTGTGCCCCCAAGAAGCTCTTGGTTTAGATGGGGAATAATAAATTAAATACAATATACCATGGTAAAGGCTGTGATAGAAGTATGATTCTTGGAGACAGTAAACATTCAGAGTTTGCATTTATTGAAAAGATAGAGCAAGAGAAAAAGGAGGAGCACATGAGAAATTACAGAGGTGTGAGAACAAATGGGTCACTTTTTCTTACATTCTGTATTACATGTTTTAATTCATATTATCTATAAGTATTAAAATTCAGTTTAAAAATGTGTGACTTAGAAATTCTAAACTGTTTTTTACTGTTTTACAGGATAACCTCACACCACTTTTACTTGCTTTAAGTGAAAACAAACAGCAAATGGTAGAATTGTTGGGAAGGAAGGAAGGAAATAGACATGCTGTAGATAACATTATAAGGTACAGTAATTTTTTTTTGAACTTTAGTATTGTTTAGAGTGGTAATAGTCACTCAAATAAGAAGGATTAAATCATTAAGAGAATTAATTTATAATCCTGACATATATTGAAAAATATCAATAAGTCATCGGGAAGAAAAGCAATTATTCTGATGGGCAATATATAAAAGTATATAGCAAAATTTATTCCTTTTTAATGTTGCTGATATCATTTACAATCTGATTCTTTTAGTCCTATGATTAGCTAATGGAGTATTAGTTAATGGGGCTCCAACTTTTAGTTTATGGTACAATTGACTTTCTTAACTTTTATGGTATTTCTTTAACCTCTACTTAATATGTTTTTCCTTTAAAGCTGTATTTGATGCATAACTAAGAGTTGATTTGGTTTCCATTCACCCTACTGCTGCAGCATAGCTAGTCTGCTATGCTGCTCACAGGCTGGCCCTGCTGGTCTGGTAGTGATTGACCTTTGTTCCCAGGATAACCTTGCTGGTCCAGATTCCTCAGCCTTCATGGTGATCTGCATTTAGTCTTCAAAGCTGCAATTTTTTAAAATTCCCTACATATGTTTCCGTCACTGCTTCAAAGCACTGACAGGTGGGCCTCCCAACTTTACTCAAAGATAATCTTCCCCCCTCCTTCAAAACCCTTATGTAGAGTCCCTATCTTTGCCCAGACCGTAGCAGTAAGTTATCCTTCTAGGATCTTCTTTGATTTTCCCGCTAGTAGATATTAGTTGGGGCCATTCTAAGCTGTAGAGGGGTTCAAACAATGCTGCAGGAAGAGATAAGACTTTCCCTTCTCCTGTGTTACCAGATGTGTATGCTACTGCTGCTTTACGTCCTGTGACACCTTTTCTTGGTTGGGTGCCAACATGCCTGAGATTCCAAAATTAAGACTGAGCTCTCCAGCGATCTATTTCCTATACAAATGAAAATTCCCCTACTTGACTTATATTTATGTCAAATTTCAAATTATTTTCTGATTCTGCCTTAAAAGGAAGCCACTCAGCAGAAATCTCTAGATCTAAAGTAAGTTAGTTGACAATGGGAAAGCGAAGACCCATCCATGATTCACCAGTATCCACGAGTTATAAAAGTTAGATTATGTTTTCCAAGTCAGTTAGAGATGAACATGGCAGTGAACACTATTCCAATAAAGATCTGCTGGTTCAGGGTTTGAGTAGGTAGAGAAGGAATAGTGGTAGTCAAAGCCAGGTTTATCTTCTTAGTTTTCTGCTCTTGTTATGATTAGCTAAATTATGCTATATAATGAGGTGACATTTATAATAAATTTAGTTACAGATTTGTAATAGCTAAAACCTTGAGTAACAAACCACAAAGAAAGTCACTAATAACCCAAATTAATAACATTTTCTTGAAACTGCAACATTTCGTTGTCAGAACTTATGAAAAAACACACATTGAGATTTTGGGAGGATTCCAAAATTGTTCCAGTGGTAAAGTTCAAGAACAAATTATTCTATTGCTTCACTATTTGTCTTATCTTTGGGGAGGCTGTATCATCTCATTAAATCTTCTAATAATCCTTTAAAATAAGGCAATCAGATCCCCGTTTTATGGAGAAAGGTTTTGAGCTGAAGGGGAGTGACTTGTCCAGGAGAAAATAGCTGTGATTATAGAGCATTGGACTCGTTCTGAGTTCAAGACATCTTCCACTGTGTATGAGCTTCTGAGTTATACTGCCCTCATTTCATGACTGCTTCACCTTCCTCTTTTTTCTTCTTTAAATTATGTTGTTGTTGTTTTTTAAGATTGATTTATTTATTTATACAAGCACTGGGTACAGTCAGAAGCGCGGGAGGGTGAAAGAATTCACCAGGGCCAGAGCGGGGAACAGAACAGGCAGAAGGACTGAAGCACACTGCTGAGGGGAGCGGCGGGAGTGGCAGGAGAGGTCTGTCGTGCCATGTGGGACCCTCGGCAGTAGCCGGGGATCGAGCCGGCGCTGGAGAGGCTGTGGGCAGCTTCGTAGCCTAGCACTCAACCGCTGTGCCACCGGGGAGGCCCCTTTTAAATTATGTTTTATAAAAATTTGTAGACCATACAAATTTGAAGTATACAGGATAATTATCGTTTTGATATTATATGAAACTACTATTAAAATAGTGATATGATTATCACCTTTTTTTTAATCACAGCAATCATCAACTAATTTCTCAATATGAAGAAGAAAAGAGACTTCATTCTTCTCCAGCAATTAGCAATCCAGGTAAGACTTTAGATAGTGAACGACTCTTGGTGTTCCTACCACAGGTAAAGAAAGAAAACATAAGGGAGTTTTGATAATGAAAAAGATTAATGTGCCCAATTACATGTATATTAAATTCTTCCTAGTCTGTTTTTCACAGTTTAGAAAATTAATTGTAGATAATTTAAAATCTGAGACAATATTGTCTTTCTGAAAAAAAGAAAGTCATTTATTTAGTTCCTATGGACCCTAAAATACCATATAATACCTTTTATAAAAAAGAAAAAGGTTATTAGTTAGTATGCTATATGTTCTTCCTAATAACATCATAACAAATAGGACTTGTTTTAAAAATGATCTTTATTCAGTTTTTCCAACAAGTGGATTACATATGTTAAATGTAAATTATTATATCATGCTTTTTCTCACTAAAAACGTAACTATATCTTGGGCCTCCTGGTGGTATAGGCAGTTGAGTGCAGCGCTGTGAGGCTGTCCGCAGCCTCTGCAGTGCCTGTTAGATCCCTGCCAGTGGCAGAGATACCCACATGGCACCACAGACCTCTCCTTTCTTGCCTGCTGCTCCCCTCAGCAGTGTATTTCACTTGGTCTGCCTGTTCTGTTCCTCCCTCTGTCCCTAGTGAATCCTCTCACCTCTTGCACATCTGGCCTGTACCTCAGTTCTTGTGTAAATAAATAAATCTTAAAAAAAAAAAAAAAACTGTGTCTTTAAAACTGGAGGCTCAACAACACCTGTCGGGTACTATAAATAGGTAGCAAATAAAAAAACTGCAAAACTTAGCCAGTGTGCACCAATACCAAGAAGAGATCTTTTTTTTTTTAAGATTTATTAATTTTTTTTATTTCTACAAGAGCTGAGGTATAGGCCAGATGCTCAGGAGCGTGAGAGGATTCACCAGAGACAGAGCTGGGAACCGAACAGGCAGACTGACGAAATACACTGCTGAGGGGAACAGTGAGCGAGACAGGAGAGGTCTACTTACCATCTGGGTTGCTCCGAGGCCAGCAGTGGGGATCGAACCGGCACTACAGAGGCTGCGGACAGCTTCACAGTGCTGCACTCAACTGCCTGCGCCACCAGGGAGGTCCAAGAAGAGATCATTCTTAAGATGATCTATTGAGGGTCTCCCTGGTGGTACAGGGGTTAAGCAAAGCACTGTGAAGCTATCCTCAGCCTCTGCAGCACGAGTTTGATCCCCAGCTGGCCAGGGAGCTGACTCGCCCGCTGCTCCTCTCAGCAGTGTTTTTCAGTTAGTCTGCCTCTTCTGTTCCCCACTCTGTCTCTGGTGAATCTGCTCACCCCCTGCACTTCTGGCCTGTACCCACTTATTATATGCTTAAATAAATAAATATTTACCAAAAAAAAGATACCTATTGATAGTATAGAAGTCAAAAAAGTAGTAACAAAAGTAACTTGTTATTGCTTTTGGTTGCTACTTAATAAGTGCCAGATACTTTAAATTCTTGGTAAGGAATTCTAGTTTTTAAAAAGTGAACAGTAGTGCAAAGACTTTGATGCAGGAGTGAATTTTGCAGAATTCATAAGGTGTTCGCTCTTGTTGGTATGAAAAGTGTGCTCTGGGAATGGCTGGGAAAGAGGTGAATAACTAGCTAGGGCAAGCTGATGAGAGCCTGATGGTAGTATAAAGGGAGGACTCCTCCCCTGAACCCTGTGCACCTTGGGGGATTTATCAGTTAGAAGGCTTTTAGCAACAGTTAACAGGTGACTTAAATAACAGTGGCTGAAATGATAGGAATCAGGATTGTTTGGGGGTTCAGTGATGTCATCAGGATTCCAGTTGTCCCTCTTTCAGTTGTGGGGTAGGGGGTGTTTTGTTTGTCTGCTTGCCTGGTTGGCTAATATCAGTGATTCCAAGCATCATATTCTCCCATAACAATATCCAGAGGGTAAAAGGCTGCTTTTCTTCACGTGTCTCTTTTAAACAAAACTTGCAGTAGAAGCTTGCAGTAGACTTCCCCTAACACTGTATTGGTTGGATTACATCATAAGCACACCCATAAACCAGTCACTGGTAAAGGAAACGTGGTTACTGTGATTAGCTCAGGACAATCATTTCTCTTTGTGGAACTGTGGAGGGGCTTCAACTTGTGATTCTTCAACAATAACAAAGAGAATAAGAATGGCTGGCTATTAGGGCAGGTGCTAGCTCTGTTTGCCACAGGGATTCATTGAAGATTTTTCAGCATTAGAGTAACAAGCTTGGACTTGAGAGTTAGGGCACTGTGGTTATTGTATAAAGCAGGAATTAGAGAGCTTTTCCTGTAAAGGCCTGTTACTAAATGTTTTAATCCATGTGGTCTTTGTCATGTCTGCTCAACTCTGCCATTGTAATGGGAAGCAGTCACAGACCATAAGGGACTAGATATGACTGTGCTCCAATGAAGCTTTATTTTTAAAATCAGATGCAGGGTGGAGTTTGTCTATGGGCCAGAGTTTGCTAACCCTTCATGGAAAGGTTGAAGGAAATCATAAAGAGATTGTGAGATAAGTTTTTGGAGCTAGTATCAGTCCATTCTGAAGTTTTCACATATCCATGCTGAAATAAGTCAGCAAGCTCAATTTATTCCATTTAAAATGTTGATTTTTTTTTGATGGTGGATGAGTGGTGATATATATAATTTGTGTTGTAAGATATGGTACCCCTGAAACTTCTACAGTTTTGGAAACTGTTACCTCATTAAAAGAAAAAGGGGGAAAAGATGGGTTTTCTAGGCTTTCTGTCTCAGTTGTTTTGCTCTAAAAATGTATTCATTATGAAATAACAGTAATTATTGTAGGTGGTTTTGGGATTTAGTTTGCCCTTTTTTCCTGTGCAAGCCATAAGGGAAGAGCCATGCTTGCCCAGAGCAATAGAGTGGAAATGTAAAGGAGAGGCAGGTAAAGAACTTAGTAATTATTGAGTATAAAAAGTTAAGGGAGCTGGAGACAAATCCAAGATGATTCATAGGTTTCTGAGGTGAGCCCTAGTGTTTACCTTGGACAAGAATGAGTAGGACTTTGTCTCATGAACAAAGAACAGCAGGTCACCAGGGAAGACCAACTTTTTTCTTGGCTACTTGGAAAATAGAAATTTCTAGCTGGAGCTAAAGCTCAAGGTTAGAGATACATATTTGAAATAATCTTACAGAAATTATAAGGCAGCATTATAGATCTGAATGAACTGTCTGTGATGAAGAACATATGGATTAAGGAGAAGGCCATTGACAATACCTTGGGAATACCAGCCGGAATGGATGGTCAAGGAAGCTAATAAAATGACCGAAGAATGGACTCAAGAAGAGTAAGACAGGAATCAGGAAGCAATGTTGCAAACATTTTTTTTTTAAATAATGAATTTTATTTTTATATTCCCCATACAATTGCAGCCCCCTCATTCTGACCCCAATCCCTCCCCTCCCGCCCCCGTCCCCCAAAAAGTGTCTCTGGTTCATAGTTTTTTGTTGATTTTGATTTTCACTTTCTTATAGTTATTCATTTTCCTGGTCCCTTATTTAAGTTTTCTAGATTCCTGCTATGAGTGAGACCATCCGGTATTTTTCTTTTTCTTTCTGGCTTATTTTGCTGAGCATGATCCCTTCCAGCGCCATCCATGTTGCTGCAAATTGCATGTGTTTATCTTTTTTGAATGCTGAGTAATATTCCATGGTATATATGGACCACATCTTCTTGATCCAGTCATCTATTTTTGGGCATTTGGGCTGTTTCCAAAGCTTAGCTATTGTAAACAGTGCTGCTATAAACATAGGGGTGCAGGTGTTCTTTGGAATTGATGTTTCTGTGTCCTTTGGGTAAATACCTAGGAGTGGAATTGCTGGATCATATGGAAGCTCTATGTTTAGTAGGTCCAGAAATCTCCACACAGCTCTCCATAGTGGTGGGACCAGTTTGCACTCCCACCAACAGTGCAGGAGAGTTCCTTTTTCTCCACACCCTCGCCAACATTTGTTGTTGCTAGTTTTTTTAATATGTGCCATTCTCACTGGTGTAAGATGGTATCTCATGGTAGTTTTGATTTGCATTTCCCTGATGACAAGTGATGTTGAACATTTTTTCATATGCCTGTTGGCCATTTGCATTTCCTCTTCAGAGAAGTTTCTTTTTAGCTCTTCTGCCCATTTTTTGACTGGATTATTTTCTTTGTTGTTGTTGAGTCTCATCAGCTCTTTGAAGATTTTTGTGATCAGTCCTTTATCATTAGTGTTGGGTGCAAAAATGTTCTCCCAGTTGGTGGGGTTTCTCTTTGTTTTTGTTATTGTCTCTTTTGCTGTGGAGAAGCTCTTTAATTTGATGTAGTCCCAGCTGTTTATCTTTGCCTTCACTATCACTGCTTTGGGTGATGTATCTGTAAAGATGTCTTTGATGTGCAAATCACGTAGTGTTTCACCTATATTTCCTTCTATATATTTTATAGTTTCAGGTCTTATGTCTAGTTCTTTAATCCATTTTGAGTTGATTTTTGTGTATGGTGTGAGGTAGTGGTCAAGCTTCATTCTTTTGCATGTAGCGACCCAGTTTTCCCAGCACCATTTATTGAACAAACTTTCTTTGCTCCAATGCATAGTCTTTGCTCCTTTGTCAAAGATTAGTTGACCATAAATCTGTGGGTTTATTTCTGGATTTTCTATTCGATTCCATTGGTCTGTATGTCTGTTCTTGTTCCAATACCATGCAGTTTTGATGATTATGGCTTTGTAGTATAGTTTGAAGTCTGGGAGTGTGATGCCTCCATTCCCTTCTCTTTTTTTTCAGGAGAGCTTTGGCTATTCGGGGTTTTTTGTGGTTCCATATGAATTTCATCAATAATTGTTCTATTTCTTTGAAGAATGACATTGAAATTTTGATTGGAATAGCATTGAATCTGTATATTGCTTTTAGAAGGATGGCCATTTTAATAATGTTTATTCTTCCAATTCATGAGCAGGGGATGTCTTTCCATTTCTTTGTGTCTTCTTCTATTTCTTTTAACAGTGTTTTATAG